CAGTAAATGAAACTTTAGCACAGTTTAATTTATCTGGCATCTTTGGAGAATAAGGAGTAAAAAAAAAGTTTTTGTTGTTGCTGTTGTTTTTAGATGATAATTTTTGCTTTAAGTAAAATTTTTCTTTAATATTCAGCACTTTGTATAGAATTATAAAATGTACTATAATATTTTCTTACCTCTTATTTTTTAAATACATTATTTAGATTTTTTGTAACTCTCTGAATTACCATTAAGAATACTCCATCCACCTCCGAGGACATTGGGCATGCTGAGCTACACTCAGTTACTTGGGAAGCTGAGGCAGGACTACAAATTTGAGATCAGCCTGGATAACTTAGTGAAGATTTGTCTCCAAAAAAGTGCTAGGGAAGTATGCTCAGTGGAAGAGAACTTGCCTAGCATGCATGAGGCCCTGGGTTCAACCTCCAGTGCCCACACACACACACACACACACACAAATTACAGTTTAATCTCCATTGGCTTGGCATTAAAGCCAAGAGCTTAATTATAAAACATCATAAATTTATATATCATTTTATCATAATACTTTATTTTAGTAAACAGGGCATACAATTGATGGATCATAAAATCTTACACCTAAAAGTGACATCCCTGCCTTTGGAAATATCTCCAACAGTCCCCTAAGGGCTCAGTTTAAAAGTTACCCAGTCCTTCATTTTAAATGAAAAGTAAAGTGACTTGCCCAGAATCACATAGCTAATTCTGGTCTCCTGGCATTCAATCCATTGATCCAGAACTTGATTAAGAATTTAGTTTCTCATCTTTTATCTCATTTCTTATGAGAATTTAATTAATACAGAGAAACTCACTAATTTATAACTCTCAGGGCTTTTTCTCAAATATTTTTAAGGAATAGGAATTTAACAACCTGATAATCACCTGACACAGAGGACATTTGTAAGAATATGCTAGTCAATTTGATTAGCAGCTTCATATTCTTTTCCTTTAGTACTTTAAAACTTAAGTGTACTCAATCTTACCTTTAAAAATCTCTTGAATCTATATCTGTCTCTACCTCAGTTCAAGCTATCATCATATCTTGTTGGATTATTAAAAGCACACTCCCATCTGGCCTCCCTATTTCCTCTGTGCAACCTCTTCATCCACTTCTCCCAATGTGATTTATGTAAGATGTAAATGTGATCTGGGCACTTTAAAGTAATATCATTTAATGTTTCACCCTAACCTTCACTATAAAACAACAAGATTAAGGTCCTTTACAACCTGTCCCTTGCCTATCTTTCTAGCCTCATGTCTTACCACTTTTCTTGGGGCATCTTAAACTTTTCATATCAAATTAACCTGTACTTCCTTGCATACCAGTCTCTCTCTCCTGTCTTTGCCTTTGATCCTTCTGCCTAGAGCATCTTTCTCTTCTTTTTCACCAAAATAATAACTCTTACTTATCCACCAATTCAATCATCACTTTTCATGGGAAGAATTTCATTATCCCTGCAGATTGGGCTAAATCCTTCCTATGGGCTCCCATTGCAACTCCCTGTGTAAACCTTTCAGCACTCATTTTTGTTGCTTATAACTGTCTGGGTCTCCCCAACAGACCATACTCCCTGAGGGTAGGGACTATACTTCCATTTCTCATTTCTATGACCTAAATAAGAAATATTTAATGAAAGTTTCTCAAGTGAATGAAAGAAAACTGAGCAAGCAATAAATTCTAAGAGGATGCCATTCAGTCTTGGTAATTAATATACTATCTAGGTTGCTGATTAGATAAAAAATAGCACTAGCTCTTCCTGCTATATGGAAATATTCCATAACTGCACAGAATACAATTTTTAGTTTTATGTCACTTAAACACATACATATTTTTTTTTTCAGTGCTGGGGATCAAATTCAGGACTTTGCACATGCTAGGCAAGCACTCCATCACTGAAATACATTCCCAGCCCATTAATTTAAATTTAATAGCCATATGTGGCTATTGGATAGTACAAACCTAGAACATTTTGTGCATACTTAGGGTATTTATATCAGAATAAATCAGTGTGGGTGAGAACATTCCTAATGCATTCTTCAATAAAAATTGAAGAATTTCCACATCTTGGAAAGTAGAGCTGTTTTTGTTTTGTTTTCACCTTTACAGGAAATCTTAACAAAGTATGTGCTAAAGGAATAAATAGGGATATAAAGAATTCATTTCTAATATTGTTTAATGGT